CAACACTTTTATAATATATAAAGATATTGAATATTACATATAATTTAAATATTCTAAGATATTTCATAATTTGTATATTATAATATTCATTAATCCTTACACTTTCTTATTTAGATTTCCTTTGATCCTAAATCCCAAGTGATCAAATACTCTCCATCATCACTTAATTGTCCATAAATATGTTAATGACCAAATTAAATAGATTATTAAATAATAAAGTCACCATTTTGTTTCTTTCTCATTAAATTCACATTTTTGCCATTCTTATTCACAAGTAGGCATTTTGACTTTCTGTATTATTATGGAAATAAACAATCACAATAACTTGAATCACACTTTACTGCAATTTCCTTAATCTTATTATACTATTTATTATTAGTATCCATCTCATATATATACATTTAATCTTTACAATAAGGTTAGAATGTAAATAAGTTATCATTAATAAAACATAATCGTTATCCATATTAATCAACTATTATCTTTTATATAACACTCCACTATTTATCCAACTTAGACTATTCTATTATTAATATTTATGAATCCAAAGAACAAGATATCAATTTATTTTATTATTCATTTAAACTTAATGAATATACCTATTCAGCATGATCATTTATGGTTTATTAACATATCCATTAATTCTATTTCATCCAAAATTTGATTGTTTTATCTACACTACCTGATATTATTAAATCATCAGTATTATTTAACAATAAACAAAATATCCAATTTGAATGTCCATTTAATATTTATTAACAATTCCATTAATTATTTGCAATCACCTACCATATTATAATTGAATTGTCTGAACTACCAGATACAAAATTATTTGTCTTTTTCATAAAATTTAAAGTAAACACCTGATTTGTATGCTTACTCAACAATTAAACTTGATTCAATTTTCCTTATTGGTTTTCAAATACTTTAATATCCTTTTAACATCCAGCTAAAACAATAGATTAATCTTTATTAAATGCAAAAGCATAACAGTAATTATCAACCTTTATTGAGTTTTATTCCATGAGCTCAAAGGTGAATTTATTTGAATCTTAAACTTGTTTAATTTTTTGAATATAATTTTCTTCAATTATTTATTTTTCATTTAATTATTTAATCTCCGAATTTTTAGTATTAATGATTTCTAAATAGTCCCTTTATTCTTTCTTCCTTTCTTCTTTTTGATTTTCCACTTGTTATTTCAATGATTAAATTACTTCAGTCTATTTTTATTCACTTTTATTCACTTCTCTTTAAACAATAGAGTTAATTGGTTGTCTTAACTCAGTAGTTATTTAGTTGATTAGAATTGGATATATGAATTCTTTTGGAATAGTTGAGGATTTTAAAGAAGAAGATTATTAGTTAGCTGATTCAAATTACAGGCTGGGAAGTCTAGGTAAAACTGAATCCAATAAAATTTGATCAATTGATTAGGAAATTTTATTATAGGAGGACTTTGACTAATAGAAAATTATATAACATACTTCTATTACTTCCTATGCTTTATTGAAACAATCTTCAATACTTTCTCTATAAAATTTTGAAGTGAATGGTGAGCCTTATGAAGAAGACATACTAATTAATAAGAAATTTGATGTAAATATTGAAAAGTAATTCTTTATTAGGTAATATTTGAGCAATTTCTATTACTATTTAGTTTATATATTTAGATTAAAAAATTAATAATTTATAATTAATTACAAATTATTAATATAAATATCACTGTGCTTTTTATATTTAATAAAAAATTTTAAATAAAACACTTCCTAACAATTCATTTAATCAATTTAATTTAATTCTGAAGTTTGATTACTGCATATGTTTGCCAATAAATGAAATCTAATTTAAAAATCATTGGTTTATAGTAAGAATCTTATTTATAAAAAAAAAACGTGAATATTAAACTTAGATTTTTTTTCGAGGTCCATGTATTGATACTAATTTTATTTAAAAATAATTAGATTCTTCTAATCGAAATTAGATTTAAGCAAATATAAAATAAATATTAATTAAATGATTAATGAATGAATCTAAGAATTAATTTATGATGTATAGTGAATAAAATACAAAGAACTCTCATTTTTAATCTTATTATAATAGTAGCATTATCTTATTCATTAAAAGAATGCCATTTTAACCTCTGTTTAAATAATTTAGAAAAATGAAGTATATTATTAGTTAATAAAAATAGATTTATTCATATAATGAGCAGATTACTTTTTATTATTATAATTCTTTTGTATAAAATAAAGTTCAAAGAATTGTACTTAATTGATAGAAAGAGAATTAAAACCATTTCAGAACTAATGGAAATAAGTGCTACCTATTTTTACACTCTCTGCCATTTAATGAAAAAAAAGTAGTTTAGTTATTGAAACCAACCAAATGCTTTTTAATATATAATTAATTGTACTCATTTTAATCATTGCAATTTTATAAGGCAATTCTTTTTCAACTAATTTAAATGGATAAATTACTTTTTCCCTTTCCAATAAATCACAGCATTTATCATTATCATTTTTTAGCTAAGGCCTAATTATAGGGTTTTTTCTGAGTATTAGCCTGAATATTATTTGTACAATTTTATGTCTGCCTATTCAAATTTATGGTAATTTAACTCTTCTTCCTTTTGTAATAAATCATTTATTTGGTTATCATTTCTATATAATTTTTTAAATCTAAATTCTATTATTGAAATTTAGATATTTATATTGATCAAAAATTATTTGCTATTTAAATAATAATTTTAATAGAAATAGGAAATGTAGATTAGATGTACCTAAGCCGATCATCGAAATTAATAAATAATTGGATTTTGCATAGATAGCACATGCCCAAATTAGAGGCCTTATTGTCACTATTGCTTGCCTCAACATGGTCAACATCTTGACAAATTAACATATTTTGAACTTTTTAATGAATGGATTTAGAAAAGAATCATTAATGCTCAAAATGTATAAAAGAATGTTTAAGAGTGTAAATTATCTCTTGATTCTCTTTTAAATTAGTTGATTCCTTATTTGAAAATTAATATATAATAATTCTCAGAAATAGGAATTTCATAGATAGATAACATGATAAAGAGCTTATGTTAATTGGAAGGTTGTGAGGAAATATTATTTAAACAACTTAAATAATTTATCGAATAAATCAAAAAGATTATAGATTAAATATTAAAAAACATAAAGAATTAAACAAATTAAAAGGAAAAGTGTAATTAGTAGTTTCAAAATTTTGATTTAAAACAATCAATATTATAATAGCCATAAAACCAAAGTACCTTTAAAGCAAATTCAAATCAATTCACCTTTGAGCTCATGGAATAAAATTCAATAAAGGTTGATAATCCCTGTAATGCTTTTGCATTTAATAAAGATTAATCTATTGTTTTAGCTGGATGTTAAAAGGATATTAAAGTATTTGAAAACCAATAAGGAAAATTGAATCAAGTTTAATTGTTGAGTAAGCATACAAATAATGTATATACTTTAAATTTTATGAAAAAGACAAATAATTTTGTATCTGGTAGTTCAGACAATTCAATTATAATATGGTAGGTGATTGCAAATAATTAATGGAATTGTTAATAAATATTAAATGGACATTCTTATGCTATATTTTGTTTATTGTTAAATAATACTGATGATTTAATAATATCAGGTAGTGTAGAT